TTTAATTAAGCTTTGTTGACTGGTTAGCTGTTGAACCGCTCCTGTCTTGCCTCCTGATTCTGCCATCAGACTTTGTCTATTTGCTTTCCAAACAAGCCTCTTTCGCAGACAGGCAGGCGGGAAGCTGGAGCTCCCCTCGCTTCCTGCGAGTCTTCCCCTCCCCTCCCATCCGATTCAAGTGCGTTCAATTTTCAATAAATCCATAAAATTCTGCTCCATGCTCCGTGCAGAATGGAGGCTGCCGCCTGCACCTCTCTCCGGCATGGCCTCCTCGGATGACTGACTCGGATGTCTGGGCCAGTCCATGGCTGCATTTTTGTTTTGGTCTGTGCGGAGTAAACAATGCAGTCGGGAATATGCCAAGGAGGGAGGTCCATCAAGGAGGAGGAGGCCATGAGTTGGATCTACCACATGCCAGATGACTCAGGGACAGTGGGAGTAAATGCCGACTTTCAAGGGTTTCTATTCGAGGGTTTCCAGCATTTGCATAATGATGTCCCTTCCATATCATTGGTTTTTGTGAAATATGTCTCGATACTGGCAAATTGTTCAATTGTCCTTCTGTTTGTAGTCCACTGTGCTTGGTCCAATGCTTCCCCATTACGATTTAGCTCCGTTTTGGCCAAACCATTGAAGACTGTGAATATCTTTCGCATCTGTTTCCCTGCGATGCTGCTGCGGTCTGGTCTCCCTGGGCAGCACCCAGCGTCATCTGTAACTCATCATTTTCTGAAATATTGCTCTTTTGCATACCTGCAGCCAGCAATGGTTGTCTCTGCCGGGTTAACAGAACTTAATTCCGACCGATCAGACCCAGAGTCAGAGTCTGAGAGGAGGAAGGAGTGGGGATGGGGTCGTTGTCGATTTCAATCAACTGGCGGACGCCACCGCAGACATAATTTATTGCCACTTTTCGCAGCGATTTTCATTTCTCGCATTGATGTTTTTCTCAAGAGTTCTGAATGGCTCGTCTGGGGAAAGAAGACCAGGCACTTGGTTCTGCAAAGGGCGGGACTAATTGATTGGAGAATGCTCTAGGAATTGCTCACTTCCCAGGCGAAAGTTAATTGGCCCGGCACTCGCAGACAGACACAGGTACTTCTCGGTCTTTTAAGTGCGTTTAATTAATGCAAGCCACTAGATCCCCTTCGGATGGGGACATTAGATGCGCCTCGGGGGTAACAAGCGCGTCGCCCGTTCCTGGCCAGGATCTCCGGCCACAAACCACTTAATCTGCAGTCTGGCCAAAACCAAATGTTGTGCAATGCTGCCTGTTTTGTCTGCCGCCACGGGGTACTTGGCCTCACTTACCTGTTTGCAATATTTATTATCTATTTTTGTTGAAACTGAAATATTAATTGCTTAGAGTAGTTTTAAAAGCAGCTTAGTTGCCTTTGGGTTCAAGAATTAAACAAAAATTGTAGAGTATTTAAAAGCTTAGAAGGCTTGCAGTGCGTGGGTTGTTATCTGACACCGCCAGTGACTTTTTGGCGGCTATTAATGGGTGCAGCCAGAACACCTCTCACCTGCCTGCTGGATTATCCTTTGTTGGGCATCGACAAGCAGCATCGGTGAGCCGAACATGGAGCCACTCCACTGCACTCTGTGACGTTGTTTTTGCAGCTCCACCCGCACAAATCCACGCACTTTTTTTGGTGTAGCTCAACGCAGCTTAATTGCAAAGTGTTCAAGTGAACTCTGATTGCAGCTCTGCTTCCTGCTCGAGCTCCTTTTCCAGATTTTTTTCTGGCAGCGTTAATTGGCCAGCAGAGCAGCCTCAAAAATAAGAAACATTTCGCTGCCACTTTGATGCCCTGCCGATGATACACCAACTCGAACAACTTCAACAAGCTGCAGTCCCGAAAATTTGCATTTCAAGCAGCCCGCGATTTATGGCCTGTGGATTTCGGGGAGCTCCGAGGGGGAAGCTGTGACGAATCCAATTATGAGGCGCGCCAGCTGGAGGATCCGGGGGCTCCCGAGGACGCGGGCCGGGCCCTGACGGGTGCCATGTGCCTGATGCGATAATGCGCCATCAAATGGCCATAAATAAAGCGCACAAAACGGATTAAGCGTTTTGTTAACAGATTTATATTGAGCTGAATTATGAGCCAGAGGGGCTCCGGATTTAATGAGTCTCTCCCCCATGAAATCACAAGATCAATGAAATTAACTCGAGCTTGTAGTGCTCCTTGGGATTAACTCAAAGGGGCTTTGATTCTGCCACTCTGCCAGAGAAAATTTCCATGTATTTGGATAGCTGAGCTCCAGCTGGGGTTCAAAGTTCAACCACAAGTGTCCTGTTTCTCAGGCTCCAAATATGAAATCCCTGTCACAGTCCTTGTCACTTGCACTTTGTTCCAGTTGTTCCTATAGTTTCTGAAAGCTTTCCCAGCAAAATAAAAAATACATCTAGGGAATATGAATTAGAACGGATGGGAATGCCAAAACAAGAATTTATGTAGATATTTTTTGATAAATTCATTGCAAAAAACATAAATTGAATGAACATGGACAGTTGCAGCTACAAATTCGTACGATTCTCTACAAAAAAACACATTTATGCTGAAAACTGCAGTATCTATCGATTCGAGAGACATGCATATTGTATTTCCTCTTTTTTCCAACATTTGTTTATCAAATTCGAGGGTTCCCCAAGGGCGACGGGGTTGTCTAGGTACTGACAGAGCTTCTGATGAAAAAAATGGACACTTCACATAAAGCCAAAATTACAGCCACCAAAAATTAAAGCAACCCACTGGTGAAAAAATATGGAGCGAAAAAACTGGACCTGAAATTGCCCCCCAGGGCAGGCCATGGCAAATTGGGGCTGCCGCTGCAGAAGCCGCCGCCTCACCTGGGTTTTTTGTCGGTTTCTGGGGTGGGGAGGATCATCCTCGTCAGTCGATCGACGAGTGGCAGCCTCGTGCTGGACCTGGACCTGGACCTGGACCTCGGAGGATGTCGGCATTTTGGGCTGAGCGTCGAATTAAGCAAATTACGGTGGGCTCCCAATGATCGATCCGATCCGACCCGCTCTCCCCTTGCTGGTCGCTGCGGCAGATGCTGTGCAATTTGCCTTAATGCCCAGGATTATGTTCGAGGCGACTGCCAGAGCTGCAAACTGTTGACTCTTTTTTGTTGGCCTTATGTCCTCTCAAATTGGCGCATGTAAATTTTTGCGATGCGGCTGCAAAAAAGAATTTCTGGCAGTTTTTATGGTCAGGCATATTGATTCAAGTGAGGATTTTGTAACTCATAAGTGGAGGAGCCTTTTTGGTTTAAAAAGATATTTATAAACTCTAAAAAGTAGACCAGCTATACACACATTCTCCAGAATGCTTAACAAAAATCCAAAGCGTATCCTACCGTCTTGATTTTTATCCAAGCTCCTGGTGTTTTGTCTCCTCCCTGGGCTCTGATTCCCAGCCTGACGCTGACATTTGTGTGTGCCCGCTGAAATATTTTTTGAATGCAGATTTTTCACTTAAAATTATTTCAATTACGCCAAGTGCAGGCCAAGACGCAGACGGCCAGGAAGAGGGACTGGAGATTGGGGCCTGGAACTTGGCTTTTTTGTCGTCCTCTTCTCCGAATGGCAGCTGCTGCAGTTCAGTTGTCGCTTTCGGAACTTCAGCTGCAAGTAGATTAAATGCCACAACCGCAAACAGACAAACTTGGTCAATTATTTTCAACGGCGGACACAAATTATTGATGCAGGCTCTCCAGCCTCCCCCACCGGCCCCTCGGCCACTCCTTCAGCCAACTCAAGGCTGGCGCAGGGGGGCAGAAAGGAGTCTTAAAAGCCGTCCAAACCGCAGCCTGCAACCGAAGCTCATCAATCTGGGGAGGACTCCGTCTGCGTTGTCGTTTTCGTTGTTGTCTCTTCTCGAGTGAGAGGTACTGAGACAATGGGCTTCCCTCTTTTTTGCTCCCCGGGCTGCACTCGGCAAAAGGTCTTCATTAAATTAGTGAAATGAGCAAGTCGCAAGCTGCAACTCCTCTGGAGACAGAACACTTGGAAAAACAGTCCCAAGTAATTGGCTTGAATAAGGTAAACTGCAGAGGAGGTACTCCAGTACTTCCCCAAGTCAGTCCTCTAATGAAACCCTATTTCCCCCAGTGCAAAATATCAAAGTGGTTTAAGCTCTTAGGACGATTCTGTTTCATTGAGAAAACTGGGAAAAGAAGTCTGGCAGCCGCATTTAATGTCACAAATATTTGTTGTCAACTGTCAATGGCCTGGACCGGGCCTGGAACTCGGATTCCAAACCATTTCGTGCACCGAGGTGATCCAATCCTCCGTCCTTCGCCATCACAGATCAATCGCACAGATCTTGGAATCGCAAATGGCTGCTAAATTGGCTCGGCCGGCTGGGTGGGTCGATTGTTTGCTCGTTCGATTGAACCATCAACGTCTCATCAAAATGCACTCGGTTTGGGTGGTGCTCAGTGGTTTTTTCGACGGCACCAGTTGGGGGTCACGAATGTTGCTACCAGCTATTGAATTACCCCAACACATTGCTGCCAGTTTACAATTTCATTTTTCGGGCATAGCGAAATCCAAAACCAAAATAACACTCCCCTTTCCGCCTTCCAGCCGCTGGTTCTGGCCATGGCTCATGAGGCCAGCGCAGTCGATGGGGCAATGCCGAACCAGAACAATGTCCAAAGCTGATGGCTAATTTCTGTTTTTGTTTGCTATTAATTTCTGACGGTTTCGCCAATTGCACAGAGCCTCTCCAATTTGTTGGTCTCCCTCGGCCGGTTGCAGCTGCTTCGCATAATTGCCGAATTTTCAATGAATTTTGGTGCAGTTTTTACCTCAGGTGGGGACCACAAATAGAGTGGCTTGTGGGAGGCTTTCAAAAGGAAATCAATAAAGGGGTACGTGTTTCACAAATGGTTATAACTTACCTCTAACCCCACCTCTTTAAAAACGCCTTGATTATGAATTTCTTTTATTTATTTTGGTTAAATACATATGTTAGTTTGTTTTTTAAGCTCTGGTTTGGCATTAAAACTAAGTAGGCAACTCGATGGAGCTGGACTTGGAGCTAGAGAAGTCCCGGCCCCCTGATAGCTAGCCAAACCCGATTCTAAGTCTTTGATGTGAGACAGGCTCAGTTCTTGAAAGGCCTTTGAGCAAACTTCAGTACACTCCTTTGGCATTGGCATAAGATAAATGTTGTTGGAGCTTACGAGCTACGAGTATTCTTTGAGCGATCCCAGGGTATCCGACGGATACTTGATACCTTTTGAGCACTCCGTCCTGGGCGAAAGTCTTACTTACTGGCTAGTGACTAGACTAAAGCAATAGGAGAATGATATGTGGAGCAGGACACAGTCTTTGGACTCGAACGTCGTAGATCATCCCATTCCGAGGTCGTGCATCAGATGCTGTCGAATGACCTGACCCTCCTCCTCGGCTAGGAGCTGAGCTGTTACCGTGTTGACCAGGTTGAAGGCTATGCCAAAGGTGCTGAACAGGCACCAAACGCCCAGGGCCAGCCAGCGAAGGGGTCGGGGCCGCAGGCCACCATCCAGCTGCCGGAGAAGCAGCAGACCCACACTGATCCCGGCCAGAGCCCCAGTCATGTGGGCAATGTAGGAGACTGAGGGGCGCGCCGGCTGTGCGAGCCTCAAAGGCTTCGGCTCCCGGGAGTACAAGGCATAGCCCAGATCGCAGAAGACTACAAGAGATAGCTCAAGTCATATATACCTTATATTAAGTAATATTACTCACCAAACACAATCACAGCCATGAGCTGGACCACTCCGTTTCGCATATGTCCGAAATTGAGGAGTAGACTGGCCAACTGGGCAGCTAGGAGAGCGTACACCCCACCACTGGCCCCTACCAGGTACACCTCTGAATCCACCACTGAAGTGCCCAGGGATCCAGCCAGAACTCCAGCCACGTAGATGACTCCTGTTCGCATCGATCCATGCACGGATTCCAGGGGCAGCCCGAAGAGCAGCTGGGTGAGCACATTGAAGGCCAAATGCAGCCAGCTGGCGTGGAGCAGGGCATAGCTGAGAAAGCGCCACAGCTGGAGGCGCTGGTCGGGACGGTAGACGAGCAGGGAATCCTCGGGAGGATCAGCAGAGACGCACACAAAAACTGCAATCTAGAGAGGAGATAATAGATGGGATTAGGGATTGTTTTCTAAAATTCTAAAGACATCCTTAATATAATTATATCCTTTTCCAGCTCGCCGGAACTAGTTCTTAGCCACTTGAGCGAGCATCTCGTTCGGGGGAAGCCCCATTCCCGAAGCATATTCCCAGGAAGGCAAGGAAGTAATAAAATCATCAAGCCCACAGAGCCGAGAAAGCTTTCGGGGAGCAAGGACTTGGGCGTGTGGGGGTTGGGAAAAGCCACCCCAGAGGCGGCGCAGACTGCCAGCAGACAGCGACGAGACGTCGCCATCAATTCCTCCGCCTCCTCTCCCTGTTTCTCCCTTGTTCTCCCTTTTTACGCCCCATATATCCCGGTTTCCCCCGCACTTTTTCTCCCTGGCGGCGTCCAGTCTGTGTGGTGTGCAAAAAGCCAGACGCGGAAAACAAATCGTAGACGTGTTGGGTTTTTCGCACGCACTCTGTATCCCTTCGTCTACTCGAATATCCTTTAACCGGAAGCCAACTTCCATTTACAAATGCACTGGATGGGGCTCTGGAGCAGGGGGGGTTGGTCGTTTTCTCCGAGTGTATGAGTGAGTATGGTTTTGTGGCCCTGTCGGCAATTTGTTTGCTTCAAAAGTCAATTGCTCGTCCAGTGTCTGTGTGTGTGCCCCCCATTTCCATTACAAGTTGGGGATGAGGCTGAAATATGATGCGGCATCTTTGTTATGGCCGGACAAACAACCCTCTTCGACGGAGATGGCCATCGTTTAGCTTGAGATACAAAACGCTCGCCAGACGTGACTGCAAGATGCTGGCCAGCCGGGCTCCAAGTGTGTTTAAACGATTTCAATCGATAGGAGAATTCAATTAAATAGTAGAAGTCTTAAACCTAGGACTTAGAACACTTCCTTGCTGAATTTAAAATAATAATTTCTTTTCAATACAATTGAAATCAAATAAAAGTGTTTACATACCTAACTCTTAAGACCCTCTTACATTCCCAAATCTTAAATAATTCTCAGAAAATTGCCGAGCAAAAAGTCAGCACCCCAACCTGGCAAAAGCAATAAAAAGAGCTTGAGAACTTGAAGAGCTATCAGAAAAATAAGTAATTGCTATCAGACAGCCATCAGACACAAAAGATCGGGGGTTAGATGTCAGCCCAGACCAATATGTTGGCTATCCCAAGGGTTGTACTGCAGCGTGGCAACAATTAAACCACAACAGAATGTGGCCAGAATGTTGTGCTTTGCGGGCATGGATGTCATGGCAACTTTTCCATAAGCCAGTTCCACAGCCCCAAGGCCAGCCCGGCACCCCCTCAAAAATGTGGCTTTTTATGGCCCTCAATCAACCCTCGAGTGTAATCGCATTAAAAAGCGGTCACATTTGGCGCCCGAGCTGAGGAGGGACTACTCACTTACCTCCAAGATTGAAACGAGGACAATGAAAAAGGGCGGCAGCCACTTGAGGGAGGTGGGCGAGGGGGCCACCGCCTCGGGCTGCTTCTCCCAATCGACGGCCGGAGACTTTTTGGAAGAGGCTCCTCCCGAGCAGACTGGCGGCACTGCCATCAGCTGGTCACAGCCGACGCCCAGAACCAGGCCGGATTGCGACGATGACGGGGCCGGCGGCATTTGCAAAACGGTACCGTGCCACATAGCTTCCTCCTCCTGCTGGTATTCCTTTGGCTACGGCCCTGCTCCTCCACTTTTCGCACTGGGTTCTATTTTTGGGGCGTCTGTCTTGTGACGGTGCCCCACTTAGCAGGAGGAGCTGAAGAGCCGGCGGAGACGGGTGCGGGGACGGCTTCTGTCATGGTGAGATGCTCGGAATGCTGTCTGGCCCGGCTGCGGCCTCCTGGAAAGGAACAAAGATGTAAAGGCACTTGAAAAAACATTCTAGAGACCGGAGTATACGTGGATTCAAGTTAAGACTATCCCCGTTTATTGTATTATTTTGGAGAATAAATGCCCTGTTCTTTCTCGCAGTGCATGGGGGGATTATGCAGTGCCGGCGATGGCCAAATTAGCTCAAGGTTGTCTCTCTTTCTTCGACGACTGTCTCCGATGATTCTGACGACAACTGCAGCGCCATTTCTCCCCGAGGCGTCTCGATTTGGCAGACAACGTCGACGACGACATTGCGACAACGCCAAAGGCGCCATCATTCAGGTCTATCCCCAGGCACCCCCACCTCAGCACCCCCTTTTGGAAGCCCCTCCTTTAATGGCCCTAGACGGCCATAAAAGAGTCAAGAATTTATTTCTTTTTTTGCACACACAAGAAATTTATTTCCGCTGCGGCAGCACCCAAAAGAAAGGGGCCAGAGTGCAGCCCGAAAATGCTCGAGATTAAGACGGAATTCGGCGATTCCTATTTGGAGAAAGCATTCTGAAAGTGTCTGAAAGCGTCCCGAAAAGCCATAGCTCAGGAGGTATAATGCCAGTCAGATCCCTAATGGAAGAGCTGGGAATTAAAATTCCTCAAAAAATTGATACATTAAAAGTCTTACCAGACCTCCTCCCAAAGTTTAGCATTAAACTTTAAAACTCGAACCTCATTCTTGAACTAAGGAATCTAGACTTTATTTTTACGAGTAAATAAAATAATTTAGCAGCCATTAAACCTAGCTTTAGGCCAAGGGTTAACTACGTACGTAGTGCATGTTTTGGTTTCTCCCGGTTAGAGTTCTTTTATTTGGTTTATTATGGTCTGCTTCCAGTTGCTGTGGTCCCTTGGCGTGTCCTGTTCCCTTCTGGCGTGTCCTGTTCGGTTTGTTCAGTTCAGTTTAGTTCCTTTGGCTCTGTGCTGTTCGGTTTGGTTCGGTTGTAATGAGTTTTAATGGTGATTACCTTTGGCCCAAAACAACAGGAATAGAGGAAGGTCCTGCCGTGTTGTCAGTGCCAGTACCCCCCTCTGCACCTCTCCCTCAGGACTGCTCTCCTCTGTCGGTTACCCAAAAACTAGTTTTGCAGACGGAAGTGTTGCTCTCGGTCGGCCCCTTAATGATCCTGGCACACAACTGGCAAACCGGTTAATGGCGTCGAAATGAAAAATATGGGGGACCACGAGGGGCAAGGCGCATGCCAAAAACTGTAAAAATATCGACAGGTGTATCCTTAATATCCTTAAACATCGATTCCTGTTGGCTTTTGCTGTGTTTTTTCCCAACTTTTGCCGCTGCTGCCGTTGTCCTTGGCACGCAACTTGTTTTGTTCGGGGTTCGTGTGCAGGACACTGAAACGCACAAAATCCTTGAAACAAACATCGAACTTCCTCTGTGCAGGTAACCAAGGCTCCACTAGCCCCTCCTGCCCCTGCCTGTTTCCTTCACTTTCTTCCTGCCACTTTCCCCCACTCACCATATGCCAGCCTTCCTTTTTGGCTCATTTGGCAAAAGGCAAAAATCGAAGTTCGACTCGCCGTTGAAGTTGATTATGCAAGGCAACCTCCTTGGCGATATATTTTCTAGTTACCCAGATGCACTGAAAAATATACTTTTAAATAGGATAACTATTCTTTTGGGGAAACTATTAAAAAAAGCCTAAACTTTATCATAGACTTTTGTAATCTTGTCCTTTATTCCTTTAAAAACCATTAAAGAGTAATTACCCTCTGAGGGGGCAATCAACTTATATTTTATAGAATTCTTTGCAGTTTTTAGTGCTCCTTGAGCTTCTGGTCTAGATTTCCTTATTCGACCGCATTCTGTGTTTGCTTTGGACAAACATTCCATTTACATAATGCTGACTATTTGTGTTTGCATTATTTGCTCCCCGTGCCCTTATACTTTCAATTATTTTCCTTAGTTTGTCAAATATGTGAGTTTGTTTTCCAACCTTTCCACTTTTTCAGTTTTTCCTTATTGATTTATGCAGTTCAATGGGCGAGGTGAATTGGCTCAAAGCCCATTTGAAATTATATCGCAATTCTTGCGGGGAAATGGCCGGGAAAGAGTGCTCCCTGAGTAAATATGGTTCGGATATGTATCTGAACTGGCGAAAAAGGGAAAAAACAAATTTAATTACTCCAGCCGTAGGGTGCAAAGTGAAAAAATAGTGAGAGAGTACAGGGGGATAAATATATAATTACGACGGGCCTTAAAGTGCCTTGGGTCGAGAGCAAAAGTTATGGAAAGCAAGTTGGCGGCTCCTCCTAGTAGTGGAGGAGGCAGCAGTGGGCGGTTCAAAAAGTGAAAGAATAACGAAGAAAGTTACATTAACAAAACGCAACAACAAATGAACTGCAAACAACAACAAGACAACGAACATGAACTACCAACAATGACGAGAAAATTATTATAAAACTATAATTGAAAAATGTTTACCAGGTGGGTGGCGGCGACTCTTGTGTAGGGTGATGGGATCAAAGAGGAAAGTAATGTGAGCTTACACAGAGCAAAATTAAGGGGTTATTTATTCAAAATATCTAAAAGTCTAATTGGAAAATTCTCAAAAATTCAAAAGAGGGCAGACTAGTCTAGAATTTTATCAAAGAAAGCTTTCACTGTGACCCCAACTCTGGGAAAGGTTTTCACTTTTTTTAAACTATTTCCAAAGGTTTCTTTTCGCATTTCGTATATGGATGAGGGACGATAATGAAGCGTTATGAAAGATGTACATGGAAAGCAAAAACCCGGTGGCAGGGGAGGTGGCTTGCCAGGCGGAAGAGGGGTCTTAGGGAGGCAGGCTTTGACGCCCAGAGTCTTAGCCGGTTTCACAATAAAATTCCGACAATTGAAACGAATGCGATTAAAAGTCGCGCACGCCATCACTGAAGAAGTACTCGCACCACGGAGGAGGGGAGGTGGTACGTCAGCCAGGCGAGGGGGTGATGGGGGGATCTGTAAGGGGCAAGTAGAGCATCGCGATAGCCAGCGACTTGAAATTCTCAGGCCGGGAAACTGAGAAACAGCGACCCACGCAGGCCGCTGGAGCTTCAAAGTTCATTTCCATTTGGATTGCATGTCAAAATGCACTCCAGAGGAGTGGGGCGGCCGAGTGTGGAGCCGGCTATTGCCGTACCCCTCCCACTCGGGCCCTCTCACTCGCACCAGCACTCAATTGTCTTTCTCTTTGCTTTCAATTTAATTGTAATTTCTTTTGTGTTTATTGCGTTTTTGTGTGTCTGCTGCTTACGTTTTAATTTCATTAACTTGTGTTTACTGTGTGAAACACTTGCCCTTACTACCGGCCCCTGCAAGACCCCCCTGGAGCCGTCTCTGAGCCATAAAATAATGCTCAACATAGACCCTAAACCACAAGAGCTTGCTTCTGTAGCTGTTGTTTGCCCAATTTCAACAGAAGAATTAAAGCTGCTCTTGATGTCGGGTCGAGATTTCACAGATTTAGAACGGCGTACGGAACGAAATTTCGACTACCCAGTTCGTAGGTGGTCATAATCCTCCCGAATATAGCAATGAACCGAAGCTGAAAATAGTAGCAGATGAAGCAAAAAAGTTTCCCATACCGGGAATCGAACCCGGGCCTTCCGGGTGAGAGCCGGATATCCTAACCACTAGACAATATGGGACTTGAGATCTTATCGCATCCATTCAGATCAGGAGTACATCAATCCATATAAATAAATTTTTAAAAATAAATATATCATATTTTTGGAAACAGTTTTGAAAAACCCCGAACTAACCCAATTAGAGCTATATTCGAAACAAAAATTCTTGAAAGGAATCTTTATTTTATAGTATGCTATCTTATAAATATTATTTTTCAATTTTGGTTCTTTTATTTTTTATCCAAAATTTTATAAAAAAGTTTCCCATACCGGGAATCGAACCCGGGCCTTCCGGGTGAGAGCCGGATATCCTAACCACTAGACAATATGGGACTAGGATATCCTGGCTCAAACGAGTGTTGGATAACGGTTAAAAACAAAAAGAATTTAAAAAATAGATCCTATTAGCCAAACTATTTTTTTTCCAAAACATTTGCATTATTTTCTCTTGCCAACCTTTAAAATATCATTGGACTTCAGTATTCCATTAAATAAATGTAAAATTTGCATTTTATTAATAAAAAATTATATAAGTAGCTAAAAAATAAAAAAATAATAAAATTAAAAAAAAAAGTTTCCCATACCGGGAATCGAACCCGGGCCTTCCGGGTGAGAGCCGGATATCCTAACCACTAGACAATATGGGACTTGACGACGTGGCGCGCCAGCTCCGAACTTCAGACCGCCTCCAAACAAGATCGTTTTCATGGTGGGTCGATGTCTAAGCATTTGTTTTTGTTGCTCGCGGAGATTTATTCAAAAAAGACTGGTATTTTTAGGCCCTGAATCACAACTCACTTATGCAGTAAATCGAAATACGATGACGAATTTGAATTTCCTACGGATCAGACCTGATTTCGAATGGGCATCGGCATCTGCTTGCAATTCTGCCAATCGGATCTGCGGGAAAACCGCAAGTTTCCCCTATTCCCGGCCCAGAGTTTTCCTCCCCCCGCCCCACTCATTTCTGCGGCTGTCTCCCTGCTTAAGTATTTATGTCTTTTCGTATATTTCTACGACTTCGCGTCAATGCACAAATCAGTTAACGTCCGGCAGACGACAATGGACGGGCAGGCAGAGGACAGTGGACGGTGGACAGTGGACAGACGTAATCACCTGCAGCGACAAAGACACCACCAACTGAGCCACCTGAACCACCTGACCGCTGTTGTTGCTGCCCAAACAAGTGCACCGGGTATCCATGTTTATTTTACGGTTCAACGATTATTACCAGTTATTGTCTAATGCAACCGTAAAAGGGGCCACTCTCGGAACGGGGAACGGGGGAAGGTGGAAGCGGAGGTGG